GAAGAGGAAGTGGAAGAAGAAGAGCCTTTCCAACAACCGCCTCAGCCACCACTTGTAGAGCCTACTCCAACACCACCTACCTGGCAGCAGCTTCCAGAACAACCAGTGCCAGTTCTAGCGCCTGGCGTGCCAGAAGTGGCGTATGTGGAGCCTCCTGTCCCTCCAGCAGTCGTCACTGTGCCGCCCTACGAAATCCCACAACCCACACCTGTTGCGCAGGTCCCGGACGACGGGGAACTGCAAATGTTGAGGGCTCGGCGGAGCCTCGTCAGCAGTCTGGTGGAAGTTGCGACCAGGATGGCAGATGAACTTCCGGGAGATCAGGCACAAAATATTGTTAAGGAATTAAAGAACAAGTTGCAAACGGTTGAAAGGGCAGAAAGGGAGTACGAAACTGCAAAGGGCCGCAGAGATCCGAAACTTCCAGTAATCCGGAATGAGGTCATCGAAGTAATAAACTCATCCTTTGAAGGGTCCCGCATTGATCTATTGCAGTTGGTAAATATGGCAAAGGCTTACGGTGAGCAAATGCATGCGCGATGCTCTGGGAGACATTTTTCTACGAACGTCGAGCGTTTTCGGGAGGAACTGGAGAAATGCCGAGATATAACGCCGGTTAAGGTGTCTATAGAGACTCTCAGTTTGCTGGGAAATGTCTCTGTAACTCTGAAACAGGAGAATGATGACCAGCTTAGGATCTTGAGGTCAGCACAATTCGTAAACGAGTACGAACCGCAAACTTTCGTGGATATTTACTCAGCCATCGCTGCCATGAAGTTTAGAATGGAAACTGTGGAGCGCTTGGCTGCGCTGGACAAAGCACTGAAAGAAGACATTCTAGGTTTCCAAAAGATTTGGATGAGGGGGATGCTTCAGGTCAACCGGATACCGCTCGAGGTGGATGCAGCGTTGGTTCGGAAACTTCATATGCTATTGTTAAAGAGTCGCCGAACACCTGGGGGGAATCCACCTTCTGGAATACCCGACGCAGATATACAATCCGTCCAAGATGTCTTTGCACAGCAAGATGCGTTTGTGCAAGCTCTGGAGACTGCGCAGGACTACAATGCTGTTGCAGTTGCGTACGAAGGCGCGAAGGCGTTTAACGAAAAGCTCAAATACTTATTGGAGTTGCAAAAGAACAAGTTGCATGCAACTCTGGAGCGCCAGCCGCTCACCAAGGAAGAGGCGAACGCTGCGAATGAGGCCATGGCGACAATTGCTGAAATTGCCATCGACGACGGCGAACAGTGCTGGCGTTACTTGCAGACTGTGAATTCAGAGATTAGCGGGAAATATGAAGAGGGGCCCGGCGTATCTACTGGCAAGGCGTTGCGGCAAATGCTGACAACTAAGAAAAAAGCCGGCACTGCTGAGTCAGGAGAGGCTATTATAAACCCTGACAGCGCTGTCGCGACTGGTGTGAAGCACTACTTTTCCGAGCGGTGGCACCACATAGACAATACGGCGAGGGAGCATTGGACGAAGGCGCAGGATATGCTCGAGAAGGTGAGGAAGGGAGCAAAGTACAAACTCGATAAGGATGGATTTGGATCCACTGCACTGGATGCGAAGACGAACCTGAGGGTGGAGATAGCAAGGACGAAAACAGAGGGCTCATCTCCCTTCAAGCTGTTGCGATACTTCAATAGATTAGTAAAGGAGTTCGAGTCGTATGACGAAATGCTAAAGACTGTATTCGTGTATCAACACCGGCAAGGATCACAGGAGTGGCGTCAGATACGAACTCTGAAGGAGAAATTCGACTCTGAAAAGGCACGAGCCAGGGACAGTGAAACGTCTGGCGTGGTACCTGGTCATGCAGACACAATTCTGCGGACATGCTTGAAAATCTGGACTCTATTTGAATCAGAGAGGTCGGCTCAGCTTAAACAGGCAATGGATAAAGCGCTCGCTGATCTTCATGGTGCAACGCAGGGTTAGAACAGGCTTCGGAAAACTCGAGAGGCGCCGACGCAACGTTGTCCCCATTTTTGATATATCCGTGCTACGCAGTGGAAGAGTGGTGATGTTGTGACA